GAGGCCCTCCCCCTGTAGCTTCCTCCACAGCACCTGCCCGAAGTGGAACAGGCACCCCAGAAGCTGGCAGTCTGTGACAAGCAACGAGTTCGTCAGTCCCCTCTCTTCTGTCTCATTCACGTCAGTCTACCTTTACTTGTACCTGGAAAGGATGCCTGCGCTGCCTTGATGGCGCCCTGCTCGAAGTCAGTGGAGACCATGGCGGGGGTCAGCGGCTTCCTGAGACGCCTCCGCACCTCGTCCTTCAGGATGCTGAAGAGGTGCTCGTAGGTACCTCTTGACTTCCGATACCTTAGCCTGGATGACGGACGCTGTTGAAGCCCGCGAGGTGTCCGCCGACCTCTTGATGTTCTGCACCGTCTCCTCCGCCTTGGCCCTCCCCCAGTCCGGAGCGTGGGAGTGGGTCGTCTCCGTGTCCGCCACCACGCGGTCCCGGGCGTCGACAACCATCCGGCCATTGCATTTTCCTCGGTGGTCGCAGCGCCAGGACGACCCCAGCTTCACTTCTCGATGGAAGGTGTACATACATCCACCGTAAATTGCCTTGCGCCCTCCCCTCTGCGTTGTAGTGTAGCGCACCTTCTCGTTCATTGTGAAGAATGCCCTATGCGGCCCCTCGCCACGTCCCCATGCGAATCACAACAATACTACCCCTCGACAATAAAGCAAAGTGTTCGTAAATTCGCGGAATAAAAAAACAAAAAAGTTTCGGGGGCGAGTTGGCACGGACATGGGGGCGACTTTTTTGATGGACCGGGGGCGAGTTGGGTCCGGGGCGAGTTAATACCGGGGGCGAGTTAACCGGGACGAGTTGTCCGTCACCCGGCGGAGCGAAGCGGAGCTGGCAATTCCGTTTGGCGGAAGGGCGGGCCTGCTTGTTTTCTGATGTGTTTAGGGTTTAATTTTTTCTCCCAAATCTACCATTCAAATATTAACTATGTAGACGGCGAGGTATGCGTCGACAGATTAAAAGAGAACTGGTAAGGCTGAACACTTTCTCTTTTTTCTTTAAATTTAACACGTGGCAGGGAACTCGGTTTAACTTTTGCTTTACCCTCGGGTCTCCTATTACCCTTCGGGAAGCCAGTGAGGTTGTTCAGGCGTTGCTCCGGGAGCCTTACCCACAAAGCGCTCTCAATGTGCTTGCTGCGAGAATGATGTGTCGAGACCCGGTCATGTTGACGAAAACTGCCCAGATGTGGACCAGTGCATCCAAAAGGGCAGGCTGTTGCGGGCTTCTTCTTCCTCCTCCCATGTTAAAGCATAGGCGCCAAAAAAAGAAGCCCGCAACAGCCTGCCCTTTTGGATGCACTGATGTGGACCAAGGTATTTGCCAGCGGCAGTCGTTTTGCCCCTTCCAATGAAAATAAACTGACCGTCGTGCAGGTAGTGCAAGCATCTTCTTACTCCTTTTCCAAGGCCAAAGCACTCATTGAGCTCACTGACAATGAGTAGGATGTACATACTACTTGCGCCAACTTGGCTTAGCATGACTTCTGAGACCGCAATAGCTTCTGAACCTGATGCTCTTAGCTAGCCAAAGTGTTCCTGGAGTTTGTTCCATTAAGTGTTTTTCCACATGTGTAGTTTCCAGGCGCCCATAGCATGATATTAATATCCTCGACCTGTGCCCAAAAGGGGACACAGTATCTTATTCTATGACAAAACAATCATTTCTAGTTCTCATACAATCCCTGTTGTTCACGTAATTATGGTTTGCGTTAGTAGCATTTATTGTTTAAAATCAAAGTTGTCATCATATGTGATGAAAGTTTCCCTAGGGAGGTTTACTGCTTGCATCCCTATCATGGTGTAGTTCTGGATCCACCTTTGTATTTGTACGTGTCTCATCCCAAGAACTATTTCTTTTGTCTCTCTCTAAACAATTCTATCAGTGTGTACTGTCGAAATGCTTTTACTATAAGTCCAGGAATATTAACTAAAAATTAAATTAAAAATAAGGGGTGTTTCATTACTGTTTTCAGAGACCTGCAACAATTTTGTAAATCTGATTCAGTTGTATGTAAAAAGAGTTCAAAAAGAAAATAATTTGATTACAAAAGTGGAATTACAGCACGCCCTGGATCATCTTATTCTTCACGGTTAAGACTGTCAGAATTTCTTTGCCGTTTAAACATGGTATCAATCTTTCCAGATTTGCAATCACTTTTCTATGTGAAGTGTGACCTAAAGTGTGCGTAGTAATTACTGGTTTTCCACCTTGTAACATTTCTATTAATTTTTCTCATTTCCTTGCAGTTTTCAGCAGGGCAGGGGGCTTTAGCCACATAGGAATCACCACCATCACTTGTTACAGTGCACTCAACAGTTGTCTCCGTTAAGGTTGAAAAATTTTCCTTAACATACGTAGTGATAGTATCTTCCAGAGTTTTCTTCACCTTCAGAAGTGTATTGTCAGAGCTTGGAACGGTTTTAGAATTTGCATTGCATTTCTGTCTGGCATCACTTGCTACTGTTGTCTTCTCTTTCTCTATTGAACTTTGCTTCTTATGAACTATTTTTTGGGATACATCAATCATTTTCCTTATAACATCTTTATCACCACCAACAAATTTACACATCTCAGGCTTATGTTTGGGGAGTGATCGCGGACGGCGTCTAGTGATAAGAAAACCATCACGTTATTGTTAACTCACTTTCGAACTGAAGGCGAATGTGCCTGTTCGTATGTCAATGGAAATGAGTACCCTTTTGAAAGAAGTCGGCAATCCATAATCTAGCTACCATGACTACAAGGCAGTCTTAACCGGTGATCTGGTTATTCCAAATCAGTTCCTAGGTGAGAGGCGTACAGCACATTCCTTTCATTGTACTGACCAAAATCACGTTAGGGGCTAACACTGCTAAGCTACTCGATCACAGAGGTTGTATAGTAAGTAAGGAGGGAGCAGGCCCAGCCCAGCCGCTGGCAACCGCCTACGCCAATAGCTGCCCCGATACCGCACCGCCGCCAGACAGTTTCCGACAGCTCACGCATGCGCAGTACGCGACGCCCCCGCCCGCCCCTGCACTCCCCTCGTCAAACGTGAATGTGACGCTACGCTGGCCCGAGGCGAAGGAATGGTCTGCGAGATATTTGCAGATCGCTGGTAATAGTCGGCATTCGTTTAACAAGGCGCTTATGTTTGCTAGATAGCTCGCGGATAATGCACGGACAATCCGCAGATAAATCGCAGTTTGCTCTCAACGTGCGATCATCTGAGATTTCCGTGATGATCTGCAGACATTGCTTAGATAATCCACCAACCGCAACAGCACAGCTAAAGAGAAATTTAACTTTCTCAGCGACACTATCGCCGATACCGGCCAGAATCGAACCCAGGACTCCGACACTGGAGCCTAGGTGCTTGCCCGCTTGGCCAGAGTGAGCTCGCTGAGCGGGGCGGCACGGACATGGGGGCGACTTTTTTGATGGACCGA